TTGGATGTCCCTTTTAGTTAATTCTGACGTTCTGGACGCTCTGGTATGATCCGTTTCGCCGTCGGAAGTCATTTTGACGAATTCATCGATTTGTGTGCCAATTTTCTCGTGTCGAAAATATAACAATATGGGTGTCCATTCCTACCAAAATTGGTGTCTCGGACGCGTTGGCGCGGTCCATTTTGTCGTCAGAGGTCATTCGAAGAAGTTCACATTTTCACCCATCCTTTAGGCTTAATTGAAGTTCGATTTCGTGCAATTTTGTGAACTTTGTGTATTTGGTGTGTGTATGTGACGGAAAAAAAAGTCGTGACGATGTTTTCCTAAGGCTTGGAGTCCTATTAGGAACCTTTCCTTCCCTTGAGTCTTCGCAAAATAATCCATAACCACTCGTTCATAAGACGATGGTCTTGTACCAAAAATGTTAGACATCAAAGGAAAATAAGAATTGGTTAGGATTTTCTAAAAGCATGGGTATCAATTCTAAATTTCTAAGACGATCAATAAGAACTCCTAGAACTAGATCCTAGGCTCTAAGGAGGAGAAGAATAGACCTCACAAAAATGAGGTCAACAAACGTACATATATCTAATGGTAGAAGTTTTAGAAAGTGACAACAACCTTTGGTTTGTCTTTTAGAATGTAGACCTACTTCATTCAAGTGTGGTCATCAATCAAGGTCATGAACCAGCTTTTATTGGTGTAGTTGGAAGTGCGAGAGGGTCTCCATTTATCATTGTGAATGAGAGAAAAATGAGCGGAAGGTGTGTAAGTGTGGGGTGGGTAATGGACCCGATAATGCATGGCTAACTGACATGTCTTACAATTGAAATTAGAAAGATTTTTGTTAGAAAATATCAAAGAATATAAATTTTTAATTATTAGAAACTAGAATAACCCAAACGATAATGTAATAACATAATGAGACATTCTATTACTCCAGATTTACTACAACTTTTGAGTGGTGTGTCCTCAATCTTCATGCCATTCTCTTGAAAGTAGTAGAGTCCATCTACTCTCTTAGCAGTTCCAGTCATCCTCCCCGAACGATGATCCTGAAAAACACATTCATCAGAAGAGAAATTAGTCACACAATCAATATTATTTGTCAACTTGTCGACAAATAAAAGATTATATTGCAACAGGGAAACATGTAAAACAGACTCCAGTGTTAGACCGGTCGTTAGTGCAACCAACCTTTTACCAGCAATAGAAATATGGGTCATTGGTTATTCTAATGATATCTTTCCCAGAGCATGAATAGTAAGTTGAGAAAGCTCACGAGCATCCTTTCATGTGCTCCTTGACACCTGAATCATTAATTCATAGACTAGAGGAGGAAAGAATCATGATAGCCATAGGAAGAGTACCTTGTCAAATGTGGGACGTTGATGGACCCGCAGAGAAATAATTAGCTCCTAGTAGCTTGATCAATTGCTCCATCAGGTTTCTCAGGGATTTAGAGGATTCCAGGATGTCCTGGGTAGGATTTGGTTGAACCGTGGTAGATTCGGACGCTGCTGTGAGGCCCTTGGTAGCAGAGGATTTGATTGAATGTTTGTATGCAGGTTTACCGTGAGGTTTTCAATACTTTTCTTGAGTGTGATTGAGTTTGTGATAGTAAACACAAGTGGAGTGACCAGTTCGAGGTGGCATAGAGGAGGGTTGAGCACGATTCGAGATGATTCTGACTGAGACAAAAGAAATGTGGTTGGGATTCTGAGACATTGATGGATTTGTAAGTCATCAACCGGATAATTGCAAGAAAGCTGCAGGGAGGTTGCAAGAAGGCTGAAGGAAAGATGCAACTACGACGTGAATCCTTCCTTAATGAACTCTCGATTCGGAGCACTCCAAGTCTTCAGAGGAGATCGCTCCCGTTACGCCATCACCGCTGCCTCAGAAGAAAAGGGCGAGAAAGCTTGATGGATGACTTGCTGTTGAGGAGTTTGAGAAGGTTGCTGTTGAGGAGAAGAGCAGGAGATTTTGTCCCTTCATGGAGGAAGCCGGCGGTTGTAGAAGAAAGTCAAGGAGGCTGGTAGCTGTAAGAGACAACCAGAAGGGCTGGCGGCTAGGGCTCCTTGTGGGAAGGATGACGGCTGCTACAGAGGCATTCAGTGGCTGGTTCTAGGGTTAGAACCTTGCTCTGAAACCATGTTGAAGTTTGAAATAGAGCAACATAATATTATTAATAGGAGGGGTATTTAAACCTAATTACATAAGACATAATAAAGAAAAAAAAAGAATAAAACAACTAGGAAAGAAGTAAAACAGAATAAAACAAATAAAAAATACATAATGAAGGAATAAAAACAAATAATAAGTAATAACGACTAGGGATTGCCGTTATAAATCCAATATTGAATCAAACAAAGTCCTCTAAAACTATCCCTTCGGATAGAATTAAAGTCTTCAAATCAATTTGCATAGAGGAGTGTGTTGATTTATGCAGGGGAGAGCTTATGGATTGTGTGAACCAGAGTGGAAAGTTCAGTGAAAGGTTTCAGGGCTTTACAGGTGAGCTGATTCTTTTATGTCCATCGTTCATTGGAGCCAAATCCGGTTCATTTTCATAAGAACTGAATGCCAGATTTCATGACATTATGCCTCTGTTTGGTTTGATGAAATTGGAGGGAATGTCAATTTATTTTATTTCAGCGTTTCATTTTTGCTCTTCAGATTCATTTTAATTAAGGGGCTGTCTGGTAAAAGATTTAAGCTAGATTTAACTTAAATCTTATCAGACAGAAAAATGACAACTTTTAAATCCTGGATTTCATAAATCCAATTTCTTCTTAGTTTTACCTTAAATCCGGATTTACAAAATTTATTAAATCTGTTACCAAATAGCCCCTAAAAAAGGTGATTGGATTTATCATAAAATATGGGCAAATTAAAATTTATTAAGCAATCATTTTTCTACTCAACTCATATGAAAAGTAGAAAGAAAAATTTGTTGGTGATTGTTTTGATCTGCCGGTCTCGTTTCAGGAAAAAAAAAAACTCAAATTTATATCAATTTAAAAAGAAAAAAAAATATAATTAACTCATACAAATATGAGTGGCAGCCCATTTGGCCTAGTGATTAGGTTCTTCATCCTCAACGACAAGTTCTTTTGTTTGAATCTAAGCACATATGGGTCTGTGGACTGAGTAAAAAAAGGAAGTTTTACATACATACCACTCAATTCTTATGAATTTACATAGCTAACATGCAAACTTCAATTTTTACATATATGCCACCTTATCGATGCATGAAAAAAATGTGTATTTTACTTTTATAAAAGTTAAAATAGTTGTATTTTTTATGTGATATGAAAGATTTGGGTGATGTAAATGTAAAAAGCAAATTTTAGCTGTTAAAATACATAAAAATTGTGTGTTATGTATTTAAATGCCCCTTTTTGTTTCATTTTTTGTAATTTCATTGAAACCAAACGGAGCTGATGAATTCGAACGTTTATGCAGGCAACAGTGATAAGCAGACGAAGAGGACGAACAACTCCAAGACTCGTGCTGAGATTGGATGGGAACCTAAATATTCAAGATTTTCTGACTTTCTTCAACATGTCACATAATCTTTCAGAAGTTGTCAGTTTTGTTTTTGGGACCATGCTATTTTTATTAGGAAGATTTATAAACATATCACTTAATTCCAAAGTATTTAGATATCTAACACCTAAACTTTGATTTTTACATATATGTCATCTTACCTATGCATTAAAATGTGTATTTTACTTTTTTTAAAGTAAAAATAGTTATAATTTTTATGTGATATGAAAAATTTGGATGGTATAAATGTAAAAAAATAAGGTTTTGGTATTAGATATGTAAATATATAATAATATGGTGGTAGGTATGTTAATGCCTGTTTTTATTATTCTGTTTTTATTATTCAACTTGTTTGTGGTGTAGACGAGTTGAGCCGAACTTATTATTTAAACGAGTGGACTTGATTGGGACGAGATTATCATAACAGAATTGGTTAAAGAAATCAGATCAATCAAGTCGGAGTTTGAAGGTGAACTTCTCTAATTTTTAGTATGCAAATTTTTATATATCTTTATTTTTGGTTTATCCTTTTTTTTTTTTTGTTATCAAGGTGGGTTCAAATTATTGGATTTGATGGTTATGGTTATAAAGTTTAGTGCTCATGCATTCTTCAAAAGAGTCACAGTGTAAGAGAAGACACCATATATATATATATATATATATATATATAGACACCCACACACACACACACACGCGCACACACGCAGACACCCACACCCACACACCCACACACACACACTCTCTAATTTTTAGTATGCAAATTTTTATATATCTTTATTTTTGGTTTATCCTTTTTTTTTTTTTTGTTATCAAGGTGGGTTCAAATTATTGGATTTGATGGTTATGGTTATAAAGTTTAGTGCTTATGCATTCTTCAAAAGTGTCTCACACACACACACACACACACACACACACATTCACTTATGGTTACATACATATACTTGCAAACATAACAAACTCTTATACACACAAATACATACACTTGCAAACATAACAAACTCTTATACACACAAATACATACACGCATACACACATACACCCAAACACATATTTATATATACATGCATGCATCCATCCATACGTTCAAATGGACGTGCACACATATATATAAACAAACATACATACATACAAGCATACATGCACATACATGCGTAAGGCGCACACATAATAGACACACACAACCACACAAGTAAAATAATTATGACATTAAGTTGCTATATGCATTTGTGTAAATATTAAATTATAGGTGAGGTATATGCATAAGAATTATGTGACATATATGTAAATCTTTTATGTGTATACATATATATTGTAAATAAATAAGCTATCAATTTAAAGGAAAAATTGGCTCAAGATATTTTGGTAAATTTTTTAGCCAAACTGAGTTAGTTATTAAACTTATTTTTTAATGCATTTCATCAATTTCAACCATTATGTGATCACTTATGACAAAAGCTTAGTCAATTTCTTTTTTTCACTCAGATTTAGAAAAGGGATTTTAATGATCTCATCAATGGATCTCATCAATGGCCGCAAATAGTTCGTGTTTGGTTCGTCAATGAGTTCATG